TCAAGTATGCATACCCAAGGTTTTCTCATTTGGGTAATAGACAGTTTTGTTATAATTAAACGTTGGCTGCATGGCCACTATTATTGCCTAGATACTACTACCCAGCTTCACCGCAATATCTAGGATCTGTCTGCTCCCAGAGCTTAGAATCAAGCAGTGAGGTAGCTTGGACACTAATAAATGTCAACTTCAGCTATTAAAAATCCATCCTAAACTCAACGAACCAGACGTTCATTACAGTAAGGTAGTATGGGAGTACTAATTAAACCTGATCCAGATTAGTCAGTGACATTTTTAGAGGAAAAGAGATTTTAAACTCAGCTTAATACAGCTACAGGTCCAGGGAGTAGAAAGGGTGGACTAACTAAAAGTTTTCCATTTCCATATATAGAAGGAAAGAGAAAATTTGGTTTTAGTTGGTACAATTTAGGGGATTTAAGATAAAGATAAACTTACAATTTAAAAGAAATACTTCTTCCTTACAGAAGGTAGGTTAACATTATAATAGACTACTGAACAAGACAATTAAATATCTATTTCTAAACTCTCAGGTGGTATAGGGGATGGGAAAGAAAAACCATGTTGTGCTGAAGTTAGCTATTCTGTTATTAATTCATTATGTGACCTTGGGGAAGATACTTTTACTCTCTGGAGTTGGACTAGATCTAGAATAATCTGTACATTCTACTGCTACATTCTATGACTTACATTTGCAATAGGCATCCAAGTAGATGTTATAAGGACACATTTCCTCTGAAGAACAGCCCAGATTGTATTTCTCAGAACTTCATTTCTTATGAGGATGTGTGCCTGGACACAGAGTGATTGTGTCATGAAGCATCAATTTTCATTGACGTGTGGAGACTTTATAGAGGAGGGGGAGCTGTGAAGGAAAGAAATAGTCGTGTTAGCACCTGATATAGAAGGGAGTACAGTAACAGTGCAGCTAATCAATGGCTATTGAGATAAAATGAGAGGGGGTGAAAGAGGATCTCTATCTGTGGCAGAGATGGAAGAAAACCACAGTGTTGCTAGTGGAGAGATCCAGATGCTGCATTAACTCCACTTTCTAACTCCTCTCCCTGACCAAACTTCAGTCCAGTTACTATAGCTACCTAAACAGCGAGGTAGCACAGTGGATAAAACATTATACCTGACCAGCAAGATTTGAGTTCAAATCCTACCTCAGACACTTCCTATCTGTGAAACCCAAGACAAGTCACTTAATCTCAGTTTTCTCATTTGTAAAATGGAGATAATAGCACCTACTTCCTTGGGTTTTTGTGAGGATAAAATTGGATAATATTTGTAAAGCACTTTGCAAACTTTAAAGCACTATATAAATGCTAGCTATTACATATACTTTCCCTTTCCCATGCCTAAGTAGGAGTCTTGAAACAGATCCTTACTCCTTTCATAATTGTTTCAGTCCTGATCAAATGATTTACTTTAAAATGTATGCTGTCTGTGTAGTCTGTTAGCTTGATGAAAAGTGAGTTTAGGTAATCTTGGAGGTTTCCAGAAAAGCCAAAAGAGATACACTTATCATTTGACGTTGTCTACACCAACCAAGAGATATGTACTGTATTAAGCGATTAAATGAGTGTTCTACTCTAAACAAGTTAAATAGACATGGTTGCTACTTTAGATAAACAATGCTAACATGAACAGTCATAACAGATATATCAACAATATGACAAACATTTTAAAGGTTCAGTATAAATATTAATTACATATAAAAATAAATATATAAGCAATATATTTGACCATAGTAGCAATGAAAGGGAGAAAGCATATTATTTGGTGCAGGAGGATGAGAGGGAGGGTCATAGATATTGTATACTTCAACAAAGAAATATCAAAAGGAAATTTCTAAGTCAAGACTTATAGAAGTCAGATTTTTCAAGCTATTTAGTTGATGATAAGCAAAGAACAATTGGTGACCTTACTGGGAGAGCATTGTAGGCATCAAAGACACCTCTAAAGAAAGCTGGCAAATAGGAACGAAATGGTTAAACAGGGTTAAGCAATTTTATCTCAAAAGAGTCAGCAGGTCAGGCTCTGGAATAGGTAATGAAAAAAACAAAGTTTATCTTAGCTAAAAAATTTTTTTCACTTAAACTTCTATGCGCCTCATAAATAAGCAAAATAATTTGTATAAAGTTTCTGCCTTCATGGAAAAAAGTTATATTTTTTTTTTACCAGCAAAGAACTTTCCCCAAACATATATTTGCAATTATTTTGAAAGTTTTAGAGTCTGAGAAAGACAACACAGTGAGTTGAGTACAGTAGGCAACAAAATCCAGAGATCTTAATCCTTGAACAAGCTCTCTCTGAGATAACACCTACATTATACCAACATACTCTCTCAGATCACTTTCAGATTGCTCCCTTCCCGAATTATTTATAGGAGATTGATTCACATACTTACTCAGTATGGGATAAAATATTTCTAATTATATCCAAACATCTTTATATGAATGAGAATTATGCTAGGAGACTAGATTGCCAAAAAAAAGTTTTGCCAACAATGTTTTGACTTAAGAAAGAGGAGGAGGCTACATGTTTTCCATATTTGATCCTATAAAAGTGCCTTGTGGAATGAGAATGACTTGTCCTTCCACATAAAGCTTCAAGGTAAGTGTGTCTGAGGATAGCTCTGTGTCTGCAAGGGATGGGAATCAGGGAAAGCATGTCTGGCTGTCCACTTGCATGCCACTCATCCTTGGTCCTGCTGCTTCTGGCAGTCCTTTCAGTACAATATCAACTTGATCTGTAGGGATTTTAAATAGGCATTTTAATGTTCCCAGTCATTTTCAAAGGTTCATATTTTAAAGCTAGGCAATTGCTGGAGCATGAATAAGTCAATCAGAAGGAACTTATTCTTTCTCTCACAGTTCTGACTTCCTTCAAGCTTGCATCTTCTTCATCTGTAAAACAAAAGGTAAGATCCTATTTCTATTCCCTGGGTTCAGAGAGGTGCACTGGAATGTAGAGGGGGCAACCTGTTAACAGTAAAAGCATTTTCCTCTGCATCCCTTAGAACCTGATGTTGCTGCATCTAAGCGTACAGATTTTTACTATGAATATGCAAATAGTTATAACATAAAGAGGCAGCTGGGGCTTCTGGAAGAGTTTCTCAACAAATTCAAAATTTTGCCCCATAAGCAAACATTTTCTCAGATCTCTAGATAGCATGCATTTTTGTTTCTATCGTGGAGGCAATATTTGATACAATATTTTTTCGATGATCAAATTACAGTGAACAGGAATTTTCTTTATTCTGGAATCTTATTCTTTACTTGTAGAAGAAGTGCACATATGACTGGCATTTTATACAGTTTTAGTCAAAAGTGCCTTATGTCAAAATGCATAATTTGAACTTAAATTTCTAGAGATGAAGTCTAGTAAATAAGTACGTAATGCTGAATTGTCTCCAGTGACTGCAAAATATAAATTAAATCTGTTTCTTGATTCTCTACCGGTAAAATGGAGCTTAACATGTTTGTGAAGCTAAGGTAGGAGACAAACCATTTTAATCTTGTTATCATTCTCACAGTAGTCTGTTTAGCATCAATGGGATGACATTATCAAGTCCTTAAGAAAATTCCTCTCAAGAAAATCATTGCAATATTACATTCCTGTTATTTAAAAATCCTCTATAGAAATGGCAAAAAAGAATTGATGAATGGCATTTAAAGTTGAAAGGGAGAAGAATCTTTTAAGAAAATAAGGACACTCAAAGCAATAGCAGGAAAACAAAAACTGGAACAAAGAAAGCATTGTAATAATTCTTTGAGTAATAAGTATAAAGGACATATAAAGAAGGCAGTGTGGTTCAGCAGAAAGAATGCTGTTCTTGGAGTCAAAGCTTGAGATGCAAGTCTGGGTTCCTATACTTTTTGGCTGTCTCAACTTGGTCAAGTCATTTAAACTTCTCTGAACCTGTTTTCACATCTGTAGCATGGGGATAATAACACTCACATTTAAAAAACCACCACCACCACCACCACCCCTTCTGAACCCTAGTTTCTTTTACTCACTTCTCAAATTTTCCTAGAAAGCTTTGGATCTTTCCCTTACTCATATTACATTCTACCTTAGACCTTTGGATCATAGATTTAGAATTAGATGGAACCATGTAGTCCCGTATATATAATAAAAATGCCTAATAAATACATATTTGTATGTCTACATATGTTTACATATATATGTATATATATTCTAACCATAACAACAACAGGGTTGTTGTAAGACAAATACTTTAAAAAGTATAATGTGCTACACAAAATCAAGCTATGCAAACATGAGAAAACTATTTAATAAAAAGTTTTCCAAACAATGGAAAAAACATAGCAATCTTTCTTTAAATAATATAGTCTTTAACAAAACAATTATTTTAATGAAAGAACTTTTATTTATTACAAAATAATTGCTATTATTTTCATTTTTTCTATTTTCAGTTCCCAAAATATATGTTGAGAGTATACTAGGTACCTAGCACTATGCTAGGAGCTATGGGATACACATAGGAAGTGGAAAGCATGGCCCCTGCCCTAAAGGAGCTTACAGTCTACCTGGGAACACAAGCATACATGAAAAATCTAGAGAAAAATAACTTAGAGATATATCTTGTTTTTTTTTTTCAATATAAATTACTGGAAAAGCAGCTGCTCCCATTCAGTGACACCCCATGCAACCACAGTTATGAAGTGATGCTATGAAAAATGAGGCAGGGAAAGCAGTTTAAAAATGTCACTGTAGGTGAGCCAAAATCTGCTGTCTCATTCCAAAGGCATGACTGGTTTCTGACTGCACTAGCAAATGGCACCTGGTATTAACATTTCACCTGAAATAAAGCCAAAGGATTACACATGAACAACATTATGCTTAGAGATAAACTAGTAAGAGAATAAAGTCCAAATCCTGAATTTTCATTGTCCTATCATTTTTCCCCCTCTTAAAGTCCTCTTCTGTGGAGCCCCAAGTAATCCGCAACCATGAGTTCGGATGCTGATATGGCCATCTTTGGGGAGGCAGCTCCTTACCTCCGGAAGTCTGAAAAGGAAAGGATCGAGGCTCAGAACAAGCCTTTTGATGCTAAGACATCTGTCTTTGTGGCGGATCCTAAAGAATCATTTGTAAAGGCTGTTGTTCAGAGCCGGGAATCTGGAAAGGTGACAGCGAAGACAGAAGGAGGAGCGGTGAGCAAGCTCTCTATAGATTATCCCACCTGTTTTGTATCTATTTCATTTATTTCATACTTGTTTTTCTATTTTCCCTAATAGACTGTGACTGTTAAAGATGATCAGGTGTTTCCCATGAACCCTCCCAAATTTGACAAGATCGAGGACATGGCCATGATGACTCACCTACATGAGCCGGCCGTGCTGTATAACCTCAAAGAGCGTTATGCAGCCTGGATGATCTACGTGAGTAAATTTTCAAGAGTTCTTTTTCAGTTATCTCCTTGAAAAATTTCATTTTACTTAGTTATCTAATTGGTTGTTATGTGCTTCTAATTCCTTTTTTCATGCAGACCTATTCTGGCCTCTTCTGTGTCACTGTCAACCCCTACAAGTGGCTGCCTGTGTATAATTCAGAGGTGGTGACTGCCTACAGGGGCAAAAAGCGTCAGGAGGCTCCTCCCCACATCTTCTCCATCTCTGATAATGCCTATCAGTTCATGTTAACTGGTGAGTGATTCAGTTCTTTGTAAAATTAGTTATGTCATTGATTACTGCATAGTGGGTATCTGAGGCTTTTATTTGTAGTGTCTTTTTAAAATTATTTGCCCTCTGCAAAGAAATTTAAATAATGGGATTTAGAGTAAGAAATTAGAGTAGAATCAGAATGGTATTATTTAAGCCAAATCTCTCAAGAGTCTACGCTACTTATTTGTCATCAATTTTTAGAAATTTGTAAGAGTCCTTAGAGCATGTTATATTACATTATGAAGATGATACATCATTGACCTGTTTTCAAAAAGGCGTAAGCTTTGAATTGTCCTCCAGTAGTGGTGATATGTAGTGCTGATCCAACCATGACCTCTCATTTGGTCTTGCTTTTGATCAAATACATTTGTGAGATTGTTGCCTGGGCTTGGGGTACAATCTGTGGCTAGGAAATAGAATTTCCTCCTACTTCCTCTGGGAAGCTAGCTGGTCTACATGGAGATAAAATTCCCAACCTTAGTCTCATAAATTAACACCACATTTTGCTGAGTACCAGCAGCTAAGCTAACTAGCTCAAACATGACTTAATATCTTGTCATCTAATTAGTCAGGGACATGTAGTAGAAAGAGCCCTGGGTTTTAGGTTGGAGTCCTGGATTCAAATCCTAGTTCTGTCATTTATCACACAGTTCTACCTGGGTAACTTGAGGAGAATCACTTCCCTCTAGGCTTTATTTTTCTCATCCATAAAGTAAGGAGGTTGAACAAGATTATTTCTAAGGACTTTGCTAGCTCTAACTCCTAGGGTCTTCCTGTGTTCCTGACTTTCCATATTAACCAGAGACTGGAAGAGAATGTGTAATTTAAGCCTGCAGGTGACAAGTAGGGAATAATTCTGGTGATCTAATATGTGACAACACATAATTAAACCAAAATGGGCTTATTTTTTGTGCTTAAAAAGATAACCACTTTATGCTTTTTTCACCACAAGCACGAGAGATTTTGAGATAAAGGTTGACATAACTACATTCAGTTAGTAAAGGATTTTGCTTTTAAAATGTAGAGTTTTTCTTTGTATACCTATAGATTTGCTAGAGGGTAGGAATAAAACTAATTATATCATAGGCTTCTATCATTAAAAAAAAAGATAATTTAAGCTCTCTCTAAAAGCTTGAAATATTCATATGGAAGAGGTCAGATTAGTACCTTCAATTAAATTCATAGGATTATAGAGTGGCAGAATTTTTGAGTTAGAAGGGGATTTCAGTGTCCATCTAGTCCAGAGGTGGGGAACCTGTGGCCCTTCAGGTCCTTAAGTGCGGCTTTTTGACAGATTCCTTCTGTGAAGTTTGGATTCAATCAAAGTGCCACACTTGAGGACCTAGAAGGTCACATGTGGCCTGGAGGCCACAGATTCCCACCCCTCAATTCTAATCCCACCCATATCCCCCAAAGAATCCTCACTATAAAATGCCCATCAAGTGGTCATCCAACCTCTGCTTAAAGACCTTCAGTGAGAGGAAACCTACCAAAGCTTGAGGCAACTCCTTCCACTTGTAGACAGTTCTGATTGTCGGGAAGGTTTCCCTGACGTTTTTAAATTCCCTCTGTGAAAAATGATTTCTAGACTCAGAGCTCCACCCCACTCCCCAACCCTCTTCAGAAAAGTTCTTCAGAAGGACATTACTCATAATAAGATTGCATTGAGTTTTATCCTGGTCAAACTCCAACCAAGACCTGAATTGATTTAATCTGCTCAGGTTTGGGTGGGGACATTCTTCTGCCTAGATAGCCCAAGGCTGAGAGTGGTTGGGGGGGGGAGGGTGGTCTGATAGAACAGATATTTCCTCTGTCCAGAGGTAGAATGATGGTGGGGTGATATCAGCCATTGTTGAAAAGGTATTGCACCAGGATTAAGTGACCTAAGTCATGTACTCAAGACCTCATTTTAATACAGCCCACCTCCCAGTGTGCTGACCAAACAATGCTCTTCAAAGGGCATATAACCCTGCACCTCCAAATCCCAAAGTAATCCAGTTATGGACTGGCTCCTTAGGGGGGCCCAGTTCTGGACTGTAACTCCCATGCAATGCATGTCACCAGCTTGTGAGAGAAATAAAAACATGGACACACAACCTAAATCATTTGTTTCTTTCTTAGAACAAACTCTGGGAGAGGTTGACACCTCTTTTGTACTTCCTTTCATTTTTTGTTGTCGTTTAGTTGTTCTAGTTGTGTCCAACTCTTTGTGACCTCATTTGGGGTTCCTTAACAAAGATATTGGAATGGTTTGCCAGCTCATTTTACAGATGAGGAAGCTGAGGCAAAAAGGGTTAAAAGACTTGCCCAGGGTCACACAGGTAGTAATTAAGTGTCTGAGGCCAGATTTGAACACAGCTCTTCCTGACTCCAGGCCCAGCACTCTATCCACTGTTCCACCTAGCTACCCCTTTTGCACTTCCACTGTACCTCAAATACATGATTAGAGAGTTTGTATTTTTGAGCAAGGAAGAGACAAGATCAAATACGTGACAGGTAGATTATTTTTACATCTGTATAAGAAAAGAACAAGAATAAAAGCAAGATGTCTAATTGAAAATCTACCTCAGAATCTCTGATAGAAACAGAATTAGGGTAAGAAATGGAATTTGGATCAGAAAGAGAACCCTGACTAAGGAGCTCCTGTGGTTCCCATCACATCTAAGGCTAAATACAAACTGCTTTGTTTGGCTTTTTATGACCTGACCCTTTCCTACCTTGTTAGTCTACATAGACTGTTCTAGCAACTCTAGACCACATGCTATTCCTCAAACATGCACTGCAGCTCTTCTCTCCAGCTGTCCTCCAAGCTTACAATGCTCTATCTCCTAACCTCTATCCTCCAGTTCCCCTGACTTCCTTCAAGACCCAGCTCAAACCTCACCTAGTGCAGGAGGCCTTCCCTTGGCTCCCCCTCTCCATCATGATCCTCCACTCCAGCTGCTAATGCTTTCTTCTCTCAGAGTGCCTTTTATCTATCCTGTTTAGATCTGTCTACCTAGTTGTTTATTTGTTATCTCCACCATTAAAATGTAAGCTTCTTGAAGCAGTTGTGTTATTTGCCTTTCTTTTCATTTCCAATACTTAGCACAGCCTCTGGAGTATAGCCAGTGCTTAATAAATGCTTTATTAATAAAAATTACTACAATAGTCTAGGTCAAGGGGTGGGGAACCCTAAGGCCATAGGTTTCCCACCCCTGGCTAGGAGAATAGACCAAAGGAGTGAGCGTTCCCAAGTTTAGATGTTCAAATACTGACACCCAAAACCAATACATCATTCTATTGGCAGTCAAAATGTTTGTTTGCCAGGCTGTTTGTATATATGGGTTATGCAGTTACTTATCTCTCACTTTCTTTTATCTTTCAGATAGGGAGAATCAGTCTATCTTAATCACGTAAGTATTTTTACGCTAATACCAATGAGGCATTTCAGCAGTCATGAAAATGAGACATAAGAGAAATGGAAAATTTCTCCAGTCATCTAGGAAAGCAGGGGCAGAATCAGAACAGGTCTACACAGCAATTTTCATTTTCATCTAAGTTCTAGATTTCACCTGAATGTAAAATTATAGTCGGGGTGGGAGGAGAGAGAGAGAGAGAAAGAGAGAGAGAGAGAGAGACAGAGAGAGAGACAGAGAGAGAGAGAGAGAGAGAGAGAGAAACAGGCATTTTACATGCTGACCTATAACACAGGCAACAACCCAGGAAACTCCCAGCCTAGTCTTGGCCTGTTGGCTGCTGAGAACAAGAGGAGAAGCTGAGTTTGATCTGAAATGATAATAAAAATTTGCATTTATGTAGCATTACTAAATACTTTCCTCACAAAAGCCTGGTAAGGTGGCTAGTTCAGATATTAATAGCTCCATTTTACTGAGACTGAACAATTCATGGTCACACTACTAGTGTCAAAGCCAGGATTTGAACCCAGAGCTTCTAAAGCTAAGTCCTTCTATTGTACCATGTATCTTCTCCTAAAGGCAAGAGCATAAACAATGAGAGATTGTGAGTTCTAGAAGCACTGAAGTTTTGAGTCACAATAAACCTGCCTTTCTTTTAGCCTGTCTATTCCAGAGAGAGAGCTCCATTGCTTCTCACGGTGCTAACTAGTGAATAGATGGCATCACATTTTTAAAGCATATCCAGAGCAATGCACACTATAGGAATATTCTTGTAGCTTTCTGAACATGTAGCTAGAGGGAAATATTGTCATAGCCAGTAAGGAAAGTTATTATCAAGCTCTGCTCAAGGTATCCTCATCTCATTCCTAAATTCTAAGCTTCATGGGAAGAAGGACTGTCTTGTTTAATTTTCCTATCTCTCAGCATCTAGAACACTGCTCTGGACAGAGGTGCCCAAACTTTTTTTGAAAAAAATTTGAAGCGACTTAATTTTCTCCCTTAGAAAAAAATTCTCAGTACTTAGCACAATGTGTCCAGAGCTTTGCACATAGTAATAAATGCTAGTTGACTGAGTGATTTAACTTTAAATTTAACTTTAATATTCTGACTTCTTTTTCAACAAGAATTTATTGAATGGCATATATATTATAGAACCTTGTGCAAAATGAGATGTAGAGTGTTAGAGAAGGGAAAATAAAGGAAATAAAAGACATGATCTCTGCTTTTTAGGAGCTTACGATCTTGTTAGAAAGATAAGAAATATATTGTTGAGTAACAATACAAGGCAGCATATGAACTAGTATCCAAATGACCACCAGGTGGCACAGTGGATAGGGCACTAGATGGAGTCAGGAAAACCAGAGTTCAAATACTGCCTCAGACACTTTATCTGGGCAAGTCACCTTACCGTTGTCTGCCTCCGCTTTCTTATCAGTAAAATGGGGATAGTTGCATTTGCTTCCTAGGGTTGTTGTGGAGATAAAATAAGATAATGTTTGTAAAGCACTTTGCAAACCTTTAAGTGCTACATAAATGCTATGTATTATTATATCAAGAGTGGCACAGATAATTTCTATGGGAATTTTAAGAAAGGAGAGAATAATGTTACTTGGGTAAGGACCATAATGGGCGTAAACTATGCTTGTCACATACATCTCTCTTTCCCTCCTTGGCCAAAGCCACAACTAGTTCCATATTTTTCTACTTCTAATAAACATGAAGCTTGAAGAATGTCAGGTGCCCAGGCAGAAAGGCATGGAGAAAGTAGAATCATAGAGTTGGAATCCAATGTTTTTGGTTTTTTTCCACTAGTAGATAGATGGAAAAAATATGGGTTCTAGTTTAGGGTGACTCCACTGTCTCTCTGACTGAAGTTCTTGAAGGTTTTATATTTACTGTGATTCCTGTTTGGCAGTGGAGAATCTGGTGCTGGGAAGACTGTCAACACCAAGCGCGTCATTCAGTACTTTGCAACAATTGCAGTGACTGGGGAGAAGAAGAAGGAAGAGCCCGGGAAGATGCAGGTGAGCCCATTTCCAGAATTAGAATGAAACCTCTTCCTGTGCTCTGAAGTGTATGTCCAAAGCCCCTAATATCATAATTTGTTCCTCTAAGGGGACGCTTGAAGATCAAATCATTAGTGCCAATCCACTGTTGGAGGCTTTTGGCAATGCCAAGACCGTGAGGAATGATAACTCTTCTCGATTTGTAAGTTTTCTGGTCTCTGTAAGAGATCTGTCTTTGGTATTTATTTCCACTAGCATAGCTAACAATTTGATAAATACATTTGTTTGAATTCCACGTTTTTGTACCTATACTTTTTTTTTCATTTCAAGGGTAAATTTATTAGGATCCACTTTGGCGCTACTGGTAAACTGGCTTCAGCTGACATTGAGACATGTAAGTGATTAGAATCAACCACCAAAAATATATTTAAGTAATTGTCCAAGAAGTAAATGAATTTCAGCAGATGACAATTCATTGCATGAATCCCCTGAAATATTCTACTGCTTTAAATAATGAAACATGAATTTGTACAATCTGAACTTCTTTATTAATTTCCAATTTTGTTAATTATGCATTCTCTTTCAGATCTACTAGAGAAGTCTAGGGTTACCTTCCAGCTAAAGGCTGAAAGAAGCTACCACATATTTTATCAGATCATGTCAAACAAGAAACCAGAACTAATTGGTAATTAATAAGGGAGAAAGATAAAAGCTTTTAAAAATATTTCAATATTTTCCAATGTTTTGAGACATACATTCTTCCTTTCCTACAGAGATGCTACTGATCACCACCAACCCATATGACTATGCTTTTGTCAGTCAAGGAGAGATCACTGTTCCCAGCATTGATGACCAGGAAGAGCTAATCGCTACTGATGTAAGCAAATGATAGGAAGCAAAATTAACCAATTTGCTAGTATATGGTCTTCACAGAACTAAATGTCTTGCAGAGTGCTATTGATATCCTGGGCTTCACTGCTGATGAAAAAGTGTCCATTTACAAGCTCACAGGGGCTGTCATGCATTATGGGAACATGAAATTCAAGCAAAAGCAGCGAGAGGAGCAGGCTGAGCCAGATGGTACTGAAGGTATTAGCTAAATCCTCATCTACTTTTAAATAACTGGAGGAAAAAATCCTATCTTTAACTTATGTTACCCTTGAGATTGTACTGTTAAAATTTCTTCAAGAAAAAAAGACACCATCAAAAATTACTTACTGATTATCTAGTAAATGGAGAACTCTGCAATGGAAACTGGAAGATGATAGAAATATATACATAATATAGGGTCCCTGATCCCAAGGAACTTTCAATCTAGTTAGAGAGACAGACTATACATATGTAAACTGATAGGTTTGAGGTAGGTGCTTAATGAGTGATACTGACAATTAACAGAAAAGCTCAGAGGGCTAAAGGCATCATGGAGGACATAGAACTTCCAGCCTTGAAATTGATATTTAAGAATTAACAATTCACGTATTTAAGAATTACTGCTGAATTTGGGGTTACCACAGATGACAACACTATGAACTCAAAAAGTGAATCATGTTATATTAAAAAGAACAGTGAATTTGGAATATGGAATTTGGCTCTGCCATTACTACTTGTGTGACCTTGAACACATCCCAACCTCTCAGGACCTCAATATCTTCATCTATAAAATAAGAAGTTTGGATTAGATTTTCTTTCTCTTTTTTCTTTTTTCTTTTCTTTTCTTTTCTTTTCTTTTCTTTTCTTTTCTTTTCTTTTCTTTTCTTT